GCGTGTGTGCGCGCGCAATCAAATAAGGGGAGAACATCAGACTGGTCTCTACTTGAGAAACTACACAGGATTTGTAATGAATCCAAGTTTGTTGCTGTTGCAAAATCCAATACTTTGCTGATGATGAGGCCATGTGACTAAGAATCATGAGACACAACGGTTCCATCAAGTAGCAGGTGATTCAAAAGGCAACTGAAAGGTACATGGCAAGTGTAAGTCAAGCTACAGTACATTACCAACAGTATTTGGAAGTATCCAAGAAAGGGGATGGCTGCTCAGGAAACCAGAGTGGGAGGGAACAATCACCCATAAAACACTGACACTCTCAGAGGAAGGGCTGGAGACTGTTGGGAGCATCTCCCAAAAGAGAATTTAGGGAAGGCCACAGAACAGAATTTCACAGGATGATAAGATGTGCCCAGGTGGAGATCAGCAGCACAGTGGAAGGGTGAGAGTCTATTATCTAGGATAACAACAACAGCTAGCAGGAGCTTGGACTGGATGATTTCGAATGATCCTGCCAGTTCTATCATATTAGGAAAATTTGGGATCAAATAAAGAATTGGGTTAGTCTTTTAAAAAACAGTCTCCAGCCTTGCAGTCAGGAGGACCTGAGTTCAAATCCAGCCTCAGACATATAACACTCATTAGCTGTGTAACCCCTGGCCAAGTCACTTAACCCCACTGCCTGAACCAAAAAAAGAAAAAAAAAAGGAAAAAAAAACTCCGTGTAATAAGATAATGTTCAAGGTAACAAACAAAATAACATAGGTTTTTAAAAAGTCAATAAGCATTTATTAAGTGCTTACTAAGTGCCAAGCTCTGTCCGGAGTGCTGGAAAAAACATGGGTGAGAATGATAATGGACAATCCCTGTGTTGGGGTCAAAGTTCCATCTGGGCCACACTGTCCTCTCCTGGCGTCCCTCCTACCAGTCAGCCTGCTGATAGGTTCTTTTAGTAGAGCGCATCATCAATCACTCTCCCGCCCTCTCTGAGTGGGGATTTTCTCCAGCTCTGCCTAGAGCCTTCTTCCCTTTTCAGTAGCTCAATAGCTCTTCAGATACCTGTTTCCTATCTCTGTGTAGGTGATTCCCAAGTTTGCATGTCCACCCCTAATCTCTCTCTTGAACTTTAATCACACATCAATTGACTCTTGGATATCTCATAGAAACCTCAAATCGAACATATCTAAAACAGAGCTCATTCTCTTTCGTCCTGAGTCTGCCCCTTCTCAAAACTACCCTATTTAGGTCAACGACAATGCCATCATTCCAATCAGCCAGGTTCATAACCTCAGAGCCATCCTTAATTCTTTCCTCTCCATCCCCTCCCCCACCTCATCAGTTGCCAAGTCTTGACAATTCTACTTCCGTAGCATCCCTCACATCCGGCCCCTTCTCTCCCCTCAAGTACTAGCACCCCTAGACGAGGTCTCCGTCACATCTTGGGATGACTGTCTCAGTCTCCTAAATTGGTCAACCAATTGGAAGCACTAGCTCAGCTCACCAAGCACACAGCATCTCAGCAATGGGTGGGGTTTTTGTTTTTGTTTTTTTTTTTACTCTGGACTTAAGAAAAAGAGTTAGGCAGGTGTTGAAAAAGCAGGAATATCCAACACAGTGGGCCTTCAAGGCAAGCGTCTCCCCCATCTTCACTCCACCTCCTTAAACCTACAAAAATCTACCAATTGCCCAAGGCAGACCAAGTGTCACCCCTGCTCAAAATAGCTCCTCACTGAGAATAAAATAAACTCCTTAGCCTGGCATTTAAGGCCCTTCACCACCTGGCTCCCATCTCTCTTTCTAGCTTTATGTTATACTACTACCCTTGACGAACTCTTTGTTCCAGCCACACTGAGTTACCAGCCATTCACTGAATTCATTTCTCCGCTGCCCATCTCCGTGTGGTCCCAGAGACTCTAGTTTTTGTGCCTGGAATGGGCTTCCTCTTCATTTCTGCCTCTCAGAAGCTGGACCTTCCTTCAAGGCCCAGCTCAGATGCCTCTTTCATGAAGCCTTTGCTGACCCTCCCATCTGTTAGTGCTCTCTTCTTCCTCAATTTTTTCATACTACACTTATCTGTGTGTGTAGAATGTCCCTAGTAGAATGTAAGCTCCCTGAAGGCAGGGCCTGTTTCATTATTTTCCTTGCATCCCCAGTTCCTAGCACACAGTAGGCACTTAATATTTATCAAACTTCTGACCCAAAACAACAGAATTAATAAATCAAGTAAATACAAACTATGCATAAATAATAAATGTTGGGGTAGTGAGGTGGCGCAGTGGATACATCACTGGCCCTGGAGTCAGGAGGACCTGAGTTCAAATCCAGCCTCAGACACTTGAAACTTACTAGCCATGTGACCTGGGCAAGTCACTTAACCCCACTGCCTAGCAAAATAAATAAATACATAAATAAAGTGTCGCCATAAGCTCCATAATAACAATGTTTCAATGCAATCTAAAAATCACTTCACCTTCTATTAAAAACAATAAATCTTCTGCAATTAAGAAACTAGAAAATAACCTGCACTGAATTTGACGGCATTGTTAAGAAGGAAGCCACATGTACAGAAGGCTTATTCGTTAACTTCGGCAGAGATGGCCTCTCTTCTAAGTATTTCCATAAATTCCGTTCCAAGAACAGAAAGGAGAGTTAAGCCAGGTTGAGCTGACAGAACCTTATTTTACATTTAAGGGGCATCAACCTTGTATATAGTGCAGAATAAATTTTTGTGCCTGGTTTTAATTTTGTAACAAGACAAATTTGGTTTGTAATAAGACATCCGTATTAAGCTCTAGGTCTAGTGTCAAAGAAAGGATGATCATTATTAAAATCGATTGTCCAAATGTCAAAATGTCGGCCTCAAAGGGCTACTCTTCAATGTTCCCCCCACTAAAATGACCTCCTCCCACATCCTGAGAGCAAAGGGAAGGAAGTGGTGGTGGCAAGACCTTTCTTTGTGAGTTTCTCTAATCATCTCCGATTTGGTACTAGTGGTAACTCATTGTGTAGGGGAAAGGGTAGCTCATTTAGAACTTCTGCTTAGAGTGATGCCACTTTCATTTTAGCAGGGGGGACATAAGGCTTCTGGGACCTTCTCCTATGGGAAGAAAATTAAAACAATAAGAATAAAAATCTTCTAATTTTTTTATGTCCCTTTTAATAAGTTGGGGACTCTGTGGCATGTATGTGACTATCTCTGTCTGGACTCTCCCCTTATAGATTTTACAAACAAGCGTCAAGTAGACTCTTTGCTTAGTAATTTCCTTTCATTGCCTTTACTTTGCCAATTTGAAAATAGTTACATTGTTCCAGCAATTCTTGACTAATTTAATTAAATGTACTTTTTCACTTGTATTTGATGAATACTTTGCTTCAGTAAATTCATTTCTTCCCTATCTTTTCTCCTGACTCTTCAGACCTTCCCATCTCAGAGCCAGCAGCCTTCTCACCCTGAAGATGCCGACTCCTGTGGCCCCTTCCTTTGAGTTCCTGCCTAGAACCGTCTTTTCAGGAAGGGCCAGGGTCAGCCATGCTTATTTCTCTCCTAGCCCTATTACTTTTTCTCTGAACTTTTTCATGTTCCCTGGGTTGCACCCCACTCAACCCCCAACTTTCCAGCACTTTTTGGTGGGTCATCTTCTCCTAAAAAGGTGTGCTCGAGGGTAGAGAGTTTCTTTTTTGCTTATATTTGTATTCTCAGCACTTAGCATGCTGCCTGGAACAGTAAGGGCTTAATAAATGCTTTAGCTATCCTTCTACCTTTATCTATCATCTCTATCTATTCATCTATCCATGTCTATGTCATCTCTATATTTATCTATTTCTAGCATCTCTATCCAACCATCTATCATCTCTACATCTGTTTTCTGCCATTATCTACCTCTCTATCCATCCATCTACTTACCTCTGTCACTTTCTATCTCTACCTCTCTACCTCTATCATTTCTATCTATCCATCTATCTCCCTGTCATGTCTCTCTCTCCCTCTACCTATCATGTCTATCTCTCTATCTCTATTATCTTTATGTCTAATTATCTCTATCTACCCATCTATCCCTGTTTCCATCCACTCATCCATCCAACCGTTCACCCATTCATTCACCCATTTATCCATCTATTATTCATCCATCTATTCATCCATTCATCCACCTGTTTATTTACCCATCCATTTATCCATCCATCCATTCATCCACCTAGCCATCCATTTTCCCATTGACTTCCATTATAAAATTCAGGATCAGTCACACACTTACATACACAGACTGAGTTGAAAACTTTAGGTAAAGAAAAGATGAAGATGGTAACATGCTCAGTATTATGGTATGAACACTCGCAATAAGATGATGTCTGCTGAGCCCTCAGAGGATCATCCCAGACACTCGTTTAGCTTTTCATTTCTTTTGTCTATTCAGTGCTTCTTAAAGGTCGCGACCCACCGTTTAAGAAGTGCCGAGAGGGTCGTGGGTGGAAAAAAGAATTTAAGAAGTCCTGGTCTATAACACATGCATGAATTGGAATGAAGAAATCACACTGCACTGTGATGGACTCAGATTAAAACTTCTTTACCTTTATTTCCTGCACTTTAACAGTTTTGTAAATTTGAAATTTTCCATGGAGTTTTGGGATATTTCTTATGGGTTGGCACCTGTTTGACAACTTTTAGATTTAGAAAGCCACCTGTCCAGGGCACTGACGGGGCAATGACTCACCTAGGATCACACAGCCAGGATAGGCCAGGACTTCCTGACCATGAGGATGCCGTGCCACCTCTCATCTACAGAATTCACTTATTTTTAAAAGGAGAAGACTTGCAGAGAAATTAGGTATTCCAATAAAAAAAAAGGCTTTTTTTCCTCTCCTGATTTTTGTGATTCATACATTAAAATATGTGAAGAGATTCTGAAACTCTCTTTTCCAGCAGAGACACTGCTGGAAAAGTCTGACGCACATTAGGAAGCACACATGTATGTTTACTCGACTCCTTTGAAACTTACCTGGCGCAGCACACCCAGTGTGTGTGCCGATACAAGGAATACAGGAAGCGCTGCCGATACATATTCCAAACTTTGATTGATTTGTCCTCAGAAGCTGTAGCAAGAAACTGGCCATCACAGGAGAAGTCTACGCTTCGCACAGGGGCAGTATGCGCCTTGAACTCCGAAGACTTCCCTTTCCTGGAAACATATTTCCCACAGAGGCTGTCAGAATAACACTAACTTAGGCATTGTTCAGAACTAGCAAACTGACTTAAATGTGTTATTAAAAATCGCCTGTTGTTGAAATAGACAGAATTGGAAAGATCTTGTCACACCTGTACTCTCTGATAACACTGTCTTTTAAAATTTGCTTTGTTAATAGAAAACACCACTCCTAACAGGTGGTTCCTCCCTATTTTTGTTTTAAACCAGAAATGGAGAAAATAATATTCTGAATGGCTCTCTGCCAGATGCTGTGTACTTGCACCTCTTGTTCTGAGACTGGTAAGGGGGTATTTAAGGCTACAACTGATGATTTTGATGTTATTAAACAGAGGGTGATAAGAAAATTTTGAGAAAACACACAGCCATGATCTTGAGTGTGTGTGTGTGTGTGTGTGTGTGTGTGTGTGTGTGTGTGAGCTCTGAAATAGGTTTCCTGTCCATAGCTCCTTCATTCCACACTGTATTTTCCTAGAAATCTGTCTATTCCAGGTACCACCTCTGCTAATGTTAATCAGCATTAACCAAGGCCTTGCAAACACATTCCTTCTTACCTACTTCCTCCTTCTCTTCACCTACTCAAGTCCCTTAGATGAAATAAAAGAAAAATGGTTTTTTAACATAATTTCCTTCTAAAGAGCTGGCCTTGGACCCTGAAAAACCTGAGTTGAAGACCTGCCTCTGATATATACTAGCTGGAGACTCTGGGCAAGTCATTTAACCTCTGAGAGATGTAGGCCACAGTCTAAGACTGCAGAAATTGCATGGCAGCCGCAGGCAGATTTGATCAGGTAATGGGAGTTTCCTCACTCAGGAGGTCCCTGGACCAATGAAATCACAGCAGCTCTGGTCTCTATTGCTTCCTTTTATAATAGCACAGAATTGCTGCTGTGGTTTTCTTTGCTGGGGACAGGTGAAGGAAGGGAAGAAGGAAATGGGAGAAGTCATACAGGGCCCTGGAGGGCAGAGATTGGGGCCAGAAGGAAGCCTAGAACTCTGGGGTTGGGCTGGAAAAGAGCTTTGAGAAGCCCTACTCTTTCCCAAAGCATTCTTATCTTGCTAATAACTGAGATTTAGAAAATGTTCAGTTTTGATAGTGGTATTAACATTAGTGATACCTTACAGGAAATTGGTCTGGAAATGGAATTTATTTAATGCCATACCAAAAGTCTCAAGCATTAATAGATAAGGATGATTCAACTCAGAACCTGCATAAGCCTCGATTTGTTTTATTTAGTAATTATAAAATCATGTAAGAGCAAGCTGATGGTACAGGAGATAAGAGCACCAGGTCTGGAGTCAGGAGGATCTGAGTTCAAATCTGGCCTCAGACACTTACTAGCTGTGTGACACTGGGCAAGTCACTTAACCTCTTTGTGCCTCAGTCTCCTAATCTGAAAAACAGGGATAATGATAGTACCTACCTCCCAGGGTTATGAGGATCAAATGAGCTGTTTGTAAAGCATTTAGCCCAGTACTTTCCACATAGTAGGTGCTCTATAAGGGTTAGCTATGACTAGCTATTCTGTTTCCCCTTTTGAAGGGCAGAATGGTGTGATCAACTTGGAGTAAGGAACAGCTAGGATCAAATTGCACCTTCTTACTTGTGCTCAGTGACCCTGGGCCAGAAGCTTAATCTTTTTTTTTTTTTTGATGAGGCAATTGGGGTTAAGTGACTTGCCCAGGGTCACACAGCTAATAAGTGTCAAGTGTCTGAGGACTGATTTGAACTCAGGTCCTCCAGATTCCAAGGCTGGAGCTCTCTTCACTGCGCCACCTAGCTGCCCCCAGCCGCTTAATCTTTATGTGCTTCCAGCGACTCCCTAGAGCTTGGGCTGCTATCTGCATGTGGATGGGGTTCCCCACATGGGAGTTGCCTATGTCAACAAGATAACATGTGAATCACAGGGCCATATTTGTTAAGCGCTGTCTTCATGCTTATACATTCCTGTGGACACTCAAGTAAAACAGCCATTTTAGCCCATAGGTCACTACTCAGAGGTGTCTAGAGGGGTCTGTGATCTCTGTAGTTTGGAAACACCTTTCAGTGGCACAGATTGTGGCCCATCCACGTCCCCTGTCATTCCTGGTGATTCTTGGCCACTGTACCGGCCCCAGTTCCCACATGTGCCAGAGGCCTTCACTTTCTGCTGACAGCACAGAGGTGCCAGTGCCATGCTCTGGCTGGCCCCTACCCCAGCTCCCCCCACACGGGACCAGCCGCTCTTCGGTTCCCATCACACAGGTCTTTGACGCCATCTTTCACTCTTGCTCTTCCTCAAAGTTTCTCGCTGGTTACATGCTGCAGCCTGGACACCCCCACCTCTGACTTATGTGGGATCTTCCTTTTGACTTCTTCAGAGACTACTGTAATACCCATCTCATTGCCCTACAGCCATACCAGTAGAATGTCAGCATTAAAGAGTCAGGCCACTATTTCCATGGGAGGCTTGGGGTTACAGGTCTAACTGGCTTTCCAACTCTTGCTCAATTCTGGGCCTGAGCTCTCTATCCCAAACACATGTGTGTCTGTGTGTGTCCACAGGCTATAGGACAGTCTATAGGCTGTCCATCCAAGAGCATGACGTAACTCGGACAACAAACATTTATCACGCACTCGGTCTTTTCACTGTCAATGGCCAGGCCAAACTCTGCAGAGACCTCTTTCCAGAAGGCTATGCCGCGTTCTGGGACTGGGTACGACTAACACAATACAATCTAGAGACTTCCTGGAGCGTAATGAATACATATCATGCTGATATCATAACGACGATGTTAGATCACCATTATAAAGTGCTTCCCTCACCACAGTGTCGTGAGATGACAAAATTAGGGCTCAGAGGAGTTAGATGACCTCCCCATGGTCGTGCAGCTGGCAAGCATTGGCAGGACCTCAACTACGATTTGATTCTTGGTATCTGGGATGAGCACTGCAAATGTCTCCAGCAGCAAGTGGCAGGAAAGGCTTGGGGGAAGGGGGTCCAAGTAGGGGTTAAGAGAGAGGTTAATGCTATACCTGGAGAGGCACAGAGACTCCAGGATACCTTGAGGCCACCATGGTGGAGGTCACTCACACATGACCCCCTTCCCTCAACAAATGGTGCTGTTTAGCAGCTTCCTAGTTAAACTATGTGCTAAACTGAGGTGTCTCCTCACATCTGCCATCCAAAAAACCTGATTACTAGGAGTTAGGGAAGGGTGACAGAGGAAGGGTTCTAACTTATAACAAATAGAAGATGCTCTAGGGGAGGGGGGCTGAAGACCTAGAAGAACAAAGAGGACCATCTAGCTCAAATTCTCATTTTCAAAGAGGAGGGAACAAAAGCCCCGAGTCCAAGAGGCTCTTTCAACTTACAGAAAATGAGGCCAAGATGAGGTGGAATCCAATGTTTTACGTAGTCAACTTGCTTAGAAAGTGTTTACATTTAAATTTATCATAGGATCAAAGATTTAGAGCTGGGAAAGTCTTCAGAGACCACGCAGTCCAACCTCCCTCATCTGACATGAGAAATCTGAGGCCCAAGGAGGCTGAAGTCACACAGGTACCCGGGGCAAGGCCGGGATTTGAGCCAATGCCCTGACTGCGGAGCCAATTAGCTTTCCACCAGATTACGCTGCTTCAGCTCCTAACGCACTGTAACACTGTTTCCGTCACTCCTTCAAAGGTTTGTCCACTCATTCTCATTTACCAGTCCTAGCATTATAGCTGGGTTATTTCCCCTTTGCATTATTTCACAGATGTCTGTCCAGGTTTTACTGTTTACATCATATTTGTCCATTTTAAATGAGTTATAATATTCTTTCATGTTAATTCCCTGATATAATGTACTGTGATGTATTTAGCCCATCCTTAACTGTTAGACATTTAGGTCCTTTGCTATTATATGTAAAGCTATTATGAAAAATCCTGGATGGCTTTTTTTTATGTCTTTGATAAAATTTGTCAAGGTATAGTTATAATAACGGAGGTACTGTGTTAAAAGGTGGGATTTTTTTTTTAAGCTCTTGCTACGTACTGCCAAATTACTCTCTAGAAAAAAGACCTACAAATTTGCAATTAGATAAAAGTTGTATAAAGCCCAAGTCATACAGACTCATAGACTGCTAGAGGCGGACGGAGCCTTAGGGAAAACCTTGTCCAACTATCTCATTTTACAGAGGAGAGAACAACGACTCACTGCCAGAGCAGGGATCAGAACCCGGCTCTTCTGACCCCTGGCCTGGTGCTCTTTCAGCCAGGTTGTTGAAATGAGGTGTCCCTGAGTGGCGCAGGGAGCATCAGCCCTTCCAAAGCAGCAGTCTCTGGTCTCATGACTCAGCATAAGCAGCTTAGGAGGGAGAAGGGCCCTTTGTCCTCCCAGGTACTCCCTGGACCTAAGGTCACCCCATACACATACTTCTGCTCAGCAGTCTAGGAGGGCAAAGCTTTGAGGAAAAGACCCAACGATGAAGGACTAAGAGGCAGCTCTCCAGCTGGGGCCCGGGGGCTAAGCAGCTTCTCTTGCCCCACCTAAAGTACGCCCCACCCCACTTCAGAGGCCATCTAGCCAACCCCCTCATTTCATAGGGACTTGCCCAAGGTCACACAGGCAGTAAGCAGCAGCAGTAAGATTTTGCTACTTTACCATCCTGACTCAATGGCAGACAACGCCCAGGTCCGAACATTTCCCTTTCCCCAGGGTAGCTCCTGGGATTCCTGGTGTCCCTGCCCAATGCCTGGGCAAGATTTGAGAAACAGGGGAAGGCAACATTTGGGAGGAAACATTAGGTCCTCAGAATCAGGGAGAAGGAAGCATCCTTAAGATACTTAAGATACAGGGCTGAACATACTGCCTCCCTTCCCAGTCTGCCACCAGTCCCTGAGCTGCCTGGCCTCTCTTCCAAGGGGGCATTCAAGCCACAGCTAGGCTTGCTAGGCCAGGGCTAGGGCTCTCTCCCCACCCTGAGGCCTAGCCAGAACTTGGGAGCTACCTGAG